TCTCAACTCAGATCTTATCCATGTGCTTTCAGCTGGTGATGATTTTGATCTCCACATTTCATTGCCTGCCTCTTAATTGGTTTAATTTATAATGTCCCACAGTCTCTCAGTATTCTCTGCAATTATTTCTCCAACTCCTTAATTATTTCATAGTCTTATTCCTCCCATGCAACTGTTCCAGCGCCTTGCGACGTCCTCCGCACATGAAAAGGCGCTATATAAATGTAATCTTGTTGTTGTTCCAGTTTTTAATTCTCTCTGTGTTCTCTCTGGTCAAGATCCCTCAAACACTTTTTAGGAAGTCAAACAATGTGTTAAGAGCTATTGCTACTTGTGAAACTTAGGTATAATGTATTATTTAAACTTCCTGCTCCTCGTGAGATTGGCCTAGAGCTGAGTAAGTTCTGTACATGTATAACCATGTGTACCAGTTGTTAATTTCTTAATGTTATTAAAGATCAGGTTGTGCAACCAATGCTTTAATAGCAGTAAAGCCTTTAAAAGTCACCAAGAACCTTTGGAGCTGAGCCGAAAATAATTTGTACATAATACATCACTACCTCAGGAGGACAAATCAACACACAGCCCAAATCACCTCAAGGTGGCCTCAACAGATAGAATCCATCTTAATAGCAAAAAATGCTGTATTAAAATAGCATTATATCCCTTAAGATTAACCAGATTTCAGTTCCAATTATCATCACCTATAAAGTTCTTCTTGGATGCACTCTGGTTATCAGTGGCACCCCTTACCTGTTCCTCTCCTTTCATTTGGTCTGTTCTACACCTAAAGCAGCTTTCATAGCACTCATTTCATAGATTTTTTATATATATATGTAATGGCAAAAAGGTCATTCAGTGAGCATAGGGCTAACAACTGAGCTAAGATATGTACTCTGTTATTGACAACAGAAAAATGAAGCACAGTGCCCCTTTGTGTGGGTGAATGTCAATCTCCTTACTTGCCTATAAAAGGCTGGCTTTAGTTGGACATAGTTACAGCTTTGAGATCATTTGCATGAGCTCACAACAGTTTGCTGTCAATTTGACTGGCAGAAAGCAGATTTCCCAAATGGTTGAAGAGTTCTCTCTTTCATAAATGGGTTTCTTACCACTAAAATGATCATCATTAAAGTGATTTGTAAGCCTATCTCAACGATAACACAGTAGCACAGTATAGTAGGCATTCATACCTGTGACAACTGAAACATTTGTACAAAATAAAAATATTACAGATTTGTGTATTATATAACTCTTGATGCCAACAAGGTGACCTGAATCAATCCAGTCTCTTCAAAGATGAAGGCTCTCCTTGTAAAATACAGTCTTTTGGTGGTCAATTAAGCAGAGTTATGCGGATAAAGGTAGCCTGCAGTTAATGAATATTACAAATTCATGATAAACTTCTGAGAGTTGTGTCTTTTTTTTAAAAAATCCTGAAACTTGAGAGCAAGAGAGAGACAAGCAACATTTTCTCAAGGGATAAGAGGGTTGTAAAATGTGTAGCTCACAAGCAGGCATTGTTTACTTATCACAAGGGAATACAAGCATGAATAACAAGTAACTTTCCAAATATGTGTTTGACCAGAGTATTCATTAGTTATAAAGTTTCTCACAGTTTAGATCACAGATACTACGAAACCTAATCTAAGTATGAATGCCTACTATACTGTGCTACTGTGTTATTTTAGTGGTAAGAAACCCATTTATGAAAGAGAGAACCCAGTAGAGAGGAATACCATAAATCTTTTATGAGCAAGATAAACCTAGTTGAATTGAATGAATTGAATGTGTCCCAAAATGCTGCAGTATGATACATTTTGCTCGGAGCAATATTCAAAGTAAGGTTGAGAACTGGAAGGAAGCACTTTCCTGCATGAAACTGATAGTGGAGTCCTGTAGCTCAGTGGTTAGAGCACTCGCTTTGCAAGCGAGAGATCTGAGTTCAATTCAAGGCAGAGGGCGAAACCTTGGGCAAGTTTCCTTACTCCACACAGAGCCTAATAATAATCCCTCCAAAACCAAAACCAATAATAAATTGGTCATTTTCAATCTACGACTGTTTGTGGGACATTGCTGTGCGCAATTGGCTGCCGCATTCGCCCACAAATATACAGTCAATTCACTTTACAGTGTGTTCTGTGAAGCGCTTTGGGACGTCCTCCCGACGTGAAAGGCCCTATATCAAATGCAAGGATTATTATTATTATTATTATTAATATGGATTGATAATTCTTCACAAGATTTCGAAACTATCTGGTCCACCATGTGTCTAGCTGGAGGAATGTTGCAGCGTATGCTACTTGCTGAGCCAGCTGTCAGGAGATATTAGTCTCCTATTTATTGTACCCAAGAGATATCTTCATGAGGGAATGTTGACCAGGACAACAGGAGAAACTCATTTCTCTTCGCCATGACGTGCAGCAATTTATTTTCCAGGCTACAAACTGCACACACCTATATCTGCATTAGGCTGGATTTGGGTCTTTGATGCGCACTCTGGCTGCTACTGTGTCATAGCCACTCTCTCCTCTGAGTCAGAAGGTTTGTGAGTTCAGATCCCACATCAGTACCAGAATCCACTTAGTCTAAGCTGACTGTGGGTGTTGCATTGTTGGAGGGGGATTTTCTTTTTGACAGCCGGTTGCCTGACACATCACTATGCTTAAGAGTTTCCAAATCAAAGTAAGTATTTATGTATGAGCATCCCTCCTACACATGGAAATTCCAAACATCTTTACTTTTTATATTGGCAACGTTTCATAAAAATGACTTGATTCTATCCAGTCTCTCGTGACATTGCCTTCTGCTGAATGCTGAAAGGTATTTTCTGAAATAAATTATTTTATATTTTAGCAAACAACAAACAAAATATCTTCTGGACCAGATCGGGCTGCAGTAATTTTAGCTGCTAGATATAGTAATCCCCGGCTGACTTTAGAGATCTTTTTAGTCTCAGAATGCCCTTTGCGCATCTTGTGGGCACTAAACTGGGCCTCTCATAACTACCCATCTGCCATATCCACCCACCAGCAAAAAATGTTAACTCCTATGGATGTTAAATACTGGAACTGTTTTTGCAGTTTTTAAAAAAAAAATGGTTTTGTTTTCTCCTTTGCCACAGAACATACAGTGTCACTTAAGTCACTGAAGTACCCGCCAGGCCTGGAGAAGGTAACCCAGACAAACAAACCTAGATGTACAATAAAAGTAGTTGTTCAGCTGCGCATGATGGTATATAGTGAAATAAATGCTTGTTTGCTTTTTATTTAGAGCTAATTCTATCCCTGGGCACAATTCTGAAATGTTACATGAGTCTACATGATTCATATTGCAAGATCAGTTTGGATAAACAAGGGCCTTCGACTGAACCAATCTCATCTCTTCAAAACACCCACGCTACCACCCCACCCATCACAGGCAGTCTGTCCTGAAATTGCCCTTTATAACTCTAAACCTATGTCCTCTTGTTTTACTATCTTGGTGCATGCTAAGGTATTGATCTGGGTTTATTTTTTCAGTCGCACTTAACATGTTATACACCTCTATGAGGTCCCCACTTAGTCTTCTTTCGAGGCCGAATTGTTGCTCATAACAGTTCATTCCTCTAACACTGGGGATCATCCTCATTGCTCTCCTCTGCTCTGCCTCTAGTACCTGAGTGGATCCTCTATGTCCTGGAGACCAGAACTGAACACAGTACCCTAGGTGTGGTCTGGCCAGAGCACTGAACAGACAGGAGACATCTGGAGAACTTAACTGATTTAGCAATATAGCTCAACATCCGGTGGTCATTAGAATTCAGAATTTCTATTTCACATTCACCTCAAAAATGTGGAAGTAAGTGGCAAAGGCTCTGTACCCAAAATATTAAAAGGCTGATTTATGAAATTGCTTGTTGACTAACTCTAGCATTTAATTTGAGTTTTCTACAGAGATGCTGTACAATTGAATGTAAAGCAGAACTGACTAGGCAAAAGTTAATGATGTATGTATGGGCTTTGGTGGGATGATTTGTCTATATAAGCTGCTATGCTGTTTGAACATATGTTGCTGCAAAATCAACGTGGGAAACCATTCAACCTTTGTAGATTTGCCCAACCTCATTTAGCCAATATGTATGCAGAGTTGGTCAATAGTTCCCTTCAAAGAGGCTGAATTCACTTTCACTTCTATATATACTCTATATATAAAAATAAAACTTTCTTTAAACAACTGATTGATCTCCATTCCTCTCTAACAAACTTATTATAAAGTCCATTGCTGAGACGTCCACTTATCTGGTATCACTGGACAGCCATTGAAGTTTTGTGCATCGCTTTAAAGATTTCTGCGTAAGTTACAGTTCAACGCTTTCAGTACAGTGTGACCGAAAGATATCGATCAGAGTCCCTCTGCTATACGTGGTTTTCATTTTCTTCTTCTTAACTAATTTTCCATTAATCTGATTCCAGAATTTATTCAGAAAATGTTATTTTATAAATAATGGTTATGAACGAGGAAACAAAATGAAGGGTATTATCTGAAAACAAAACCAGAAGTCCTGCAATCTGCAGTACTTTGTGTTTTGAAGGGTATTATCTGTTCGATTACATTTAGTCAGTACACCTTACAAAAAGTCCTGATTGGTTTTGATGTTGTGAGAAAGTGCTATATGAATTGCAAGCATTATTATTGTATATAATTTAATACGGGCAGTGAAATAAACAGATGCAAATTCGATGCTTGACTCTTGTAATCTGTACGTAAGATTGAAAACATTTGCATACACCAAATCAAAGAAAATCTTATGTTTAGGTGACATGCATTACATGGAACAAAGTCTGTACTTCATCACAACAGTCATTTCTGCACACGAGTTTGCATGACACAAAAATGTTTCCTGTTATTCAACTCCGGTGCAGAAACTCTCCTGAACAAGAATTTCCCGCAGAGCTTTTTTGAAATAGTCTTCAAACAAGTGTTGTTCTTGTACAGGAAAAGTTTTTTTTTTTGGTAGGTGTTTTACCCAGAGATGAGCAAAGAAACTATCATTTCCTGAAGCTATAACTGCAACTGCAGTTCTATTTTTCATCTCTTCAACCAGATTGCAACCTGCAGTCAAGCTGCAACCGTTTCTACACTTTCTACACTTTCTACAACGATTTTGAGACAAGGAGTTTTCAATGTAAGGTAATTCAACTAGCGTAATAATAGATTGATTTAAAGTTATTGTTTACTAAATTGTACAATAATTCACAGTGACTGATGTTATCTCGGTGCTCTGTTTTTCAGACCGACAAGGATGATTTGCAACAGTACAAACTATGCAGAACTGTTCCAATATATAATATACATTCCTACGTTCATCTTTGGACTACTATTTAATATGATAGCTTTGTGGGTAATATGCTGCAAGTTGCAGAAATGGACGGAGACTACAATTTACATGACAAACCTGGCTGTGTCAGACAGCCTATTGCTTATTTCCTTGCCTTTCAAAATGCATAGCATCAGATGTCCTCAGGCATTTGATTTGAAAACCTGTTCATTTCTGACAGCTCTGTATACCATAAACACATATGTAAGCATTTATATAGTTGCCTGCATAAGTCTAGATCGATATATTGCAATAAGTCATCCTTTCAGGGCAACAACCCTCAGGTCGACAATGAAAGCAGTAATAATATGTGGTACCATCTGGATTCTCGTTGTACTATGTTGTGGTCTCACATTTGCTTTAGAAGATTCCGTGGATAATAATGGCACACTTAACAATCCCAAATGCTTTCGAAGATCAGATGATGTGCATGAGGAAATTTACGTCTTTGTTTTTATTGAGACAATAGGATTCATTATCCCATTGACTATTGTGACTTTTTGCTCATTTCGGATTATCCGAACCCTTCAGCAAAGGAAACGTTGGAATCCCAGAACAGCCGTGACAGAAAGAACCATTCGCGTTGTTACAGCAAATCTAATAACTTTTATAATTTGCTTCACACCAGTGCACGTTGGAATGTTTGTGAAATTTATGAAGGGTACAACAAACATGAATATCAACTTACTTTTTCAATTCTGCGTGTGCATAGCCGCCACAAATTGCTGTTTCGATGGAATGTTTTATTATTTTGCTACTGCAGAGATCCGTGAATTGTATAACAATGGGAATAATATCCAAACAAGTTGGAATGTGTACAATACAGACTGAGTGACTGAACAGTCGGAGCACCTGTTTTGTAGTAATTGTAATGAATTTTCAATCGAACCATTAAGGGTGTGTCTGAAGGAGCATTTTGTGTGCACGTGTGTGAGTGAGGTGTGTGTGTGAACTATGCGTGTGTGGTGTGTGGGGGGATGAGTGTGTGTACTCTCCCGCACCAAACTCCGTGACCCCATCTCCTCCATTCTCACCCGACGCAAAAGGCGCTATACAAATGTAATCTTGTTGCTGTTGTTGTTGTTGTGTGTGAGGGGTATATTTGTAGGTGTGTGTGGAGTGTGGGTGTTTATGTGGGGGGGGTGTGAGTGGGGGGAGTATGTATCTGAGGTGTGTGAAGATTGTGGTTATGAGGTTTGCAAAGTGCAGGTGAGGTTTGTGAGTTAGGGATGTAGACCTTGTCAAAATAAATTAACAACAACAACTTACACTTATATGGGCAGGTTAGCGTCTCAGAGCGCTTAACAGTGGTGGAGCTTGACTCCAAGTCGGGTGGGAGGTGACCGCAAGCACTGTTGGAAAGGTAGGGAGGTGCCAGGGAGTGAACTTAATTGTGAGCAGGGCATTTGTGGAGTCTTTGCTCTGGGAAATAAATGTACAATAGTTAATCAGACTTTGTGTTAACTTGACTAAGATCTAATTATTATTAAAGCAGAGTTTTATCCTTACAGTTTGAAGTGTCTGAAAATGATTTTTAATACTATTCATAAATTTTTTACTAAAACCGAAAGTGTTCTACAAACGAGGAAGTAAGAAAGAGAGAAAGGAAATGTTATATGCTGCAAAACGCATGTATGTAGTGCCCACGTAGGATCACGTTTCAGAGCACTTTACAGAAAATGGAGTTGGACTCTGAGTAAGGGAAAGGAGGGAGGTGACGATAGGCAGAGCGGCAGAGTTTTGGATGAGTCTTTGCTTGTGAATAGTGGAGCCAGGAGTATGGTGTAGAAGTCTAAGTGAGATGTGGCAAGGCATGAATGCGGAAGGAAGATACAGCCCGGCACTTCGAACTCGGGGGCAAGAGTTCAATAAGCTGTCTACCTTTTATTAATGAATTAATGAATTAATAGTGAAAAGCGCTATATCAAATGGAAGGATAATAATAATAATAATAATAATAATATTATTATAATAATACCTGGCGGACAAGTATCAAGGTAAACCCCTCGATAAATTGTCCAGCATTTAGATAAATGGTAGGATGAGAAAGATTGAATAGTTTGGTAATTGAGCTGTAAGAGATTGAGCCCAGTAATGCTGGAGGTGAACAGGCCATCTATTTCCCACATGGTTTCAATATCTGATAGATTAAGGATTCATAACAATTTGAAACTGCATAAATGTGCATCTTACAGATTTCAAATTATTATGAATCCTTAAGATCAACTTCTTTCTCTCCAACAGCTTGGTTTAAGACTTGGCTTAAGCACGATAAAGGGAATGGCATGAGATGTACAAACTGAACAATCAGTATGTACATCTCTAACTCATTTCCTTTACAATACTTGTAAGCTGTTTGTTGTAGAATGGAAACTGATCTTCGAATAGATTGCAAATTAAAATAAAAAGGACACCTTCGATTTGAAAAAAAACAGACTTAAGAGCATTTCCACTTTACTTTGCCGGTTAGAATTGACAAATCTACTGAAAAGGGCATAAACAGATACAGTAAATATTGGTATCTTCATAGTCACTTTACGGCCTAAGTAAAGGAATTGGAAGGATGATTTGGGTTAAGAGCTCTGTGGCCACAAGGGTGAGGTCGGTAGATTACTGCAGTTTCCCACAAAATGTAGTTCTTCCCACAAAATGCAGGCAGATATTTTAAGGTAAAACAGCCAGAACAACCAATCTCTCTCCTCAGGCTCTGTTTCGCTTCCCCTGAAAACTGCTGCTATCACACCGCTGCTCAAAATACCCTTCCTCGATCCGTTTAATCTCGCACACTACCATCCCATCTCCAACCATCTTCCTTGCCAAAGTTCTGGAACGCATTTTTGCAGTTCAACTTCAGTCACACCTCTCCCTCCACTCCTCTCCCTCGAGCCCCTGCAGTCTGGCTTTCGCCTTGCCCACAGCACAGAGACAGAGACTTGTCAAAGTCACAAACGACATTCTCTCTATCTGTGACCAGGGCTCTGTCTTCCTCCTCGTCCTCCTGGATCTCTCTGCTGTGTTCGACACAGTCGACCACTCCATCCTCCCCCACCACCTCTCCTCCCGCACTCGCATGGTTCGAGTCCTACTTAACCAACCGCCTCCATTTCATCTTGGCAAATGGTTTCTCCTCCTGCCCCTGCCCGGTCACCTGCGAAGTACCCCAGGGCTCCATCCTTGGCCCTCTTCTTTTCCTCATCTATATGCTCCCTCTGGGCGATGTCATCCGCAGACACGCGGTAAATTTTCACATGTAAGCGGATGACACACAAAATTACTTTGCCTCCAGCACCAACTCCGGGTCCCTGAGGTTCTATCAGCTTGTCTGGCAGACATCAAGGCCTGGATGAGTGTAAACGTCCTGTAGCTGAATATGGACAAGATGGAAACAATACTCCTTGGCTCCTGTTAACGTTTTCACTCCTGCAACTCCTCAACCTCCCTGGGCTCTCCCTCAGACTCACCGAACCAGTGCGCAACCTAGGCATCCAGTTCGACCCCTAACTGTCCTTCCTCCCCCACATCCAGTCCCTGATCAGCTCCGCCTTCTTCCACCTCTGCCACATTGCCGGTCTCCGACTGTACCTGACTCCAAAACTCTCATCCATGCGTTTATCACCGCCCGCTTGGATTACTCAAAGGCACTCCTCACCGGTCTCCCCGGTTCCACCATTCAAAAAATCAGCTCATTCAAAACTCTGCTGCCCACATTCTGACCCGGACCAAACTCCGTACCCACATCTCACCAGTTCTGGCCCAGGCTCCACTGGCTCTCTATCACCGAACAGATCGACTTCAAGATCCTCACTCTTGTGTTCAAATCCCTTCACTCTCTGGCATCTCCCTCCCTTTCCGACCTCCTCACTCCCCATACCACCACCCGGCGCCTCCGCTCGACTGGCTCCGGCCTCTTGCTCGTCCCTCGCACCCTCTGCCCCACCATTGAAGGTTGTGCTTTTACACACTACGCCCCAAAACTCTGGAGCACTCTCCCTCAATTCATCCGCCTCGCGCCCTCTCTCCCCTCTTTCAGGTCCTGCCTAAAAACCTTTACTCTTCGACCGTGCTTACGGCCACCTCCCCCCTCCTCCCGGCTCGGAGTCAGGCTCCTCCACTGTTAAGTGCTCTGAGACACTACCCTCCGTGGAGGGCGCCATATAAGTGCAAATTGTTGTTGTTGTTAAGATAAAATGCCCTTAATATGTGCATTCCACTTCCTTTTGCCACTAAAAGGTAACAAATATGCTCTTGTATATATTGTACATGTAACAGCAGTGCGCAATTGTAGTTGTCATTAGTTACACCACAAGCTTGTGAAATGCCTGCCCTTGTTTATTTGCAATAGCTTGGCAACAGCAGCCAGGACTGTATATATGGTTTAGAGGGAGACCATTTGGAATATTCACTTCATAATCTCCTCACAATAGTTGGAAATATTTGACAGTATCAGCATCACGAGAATATAACTCCGATCGGAATAATCACAGTTTATTTCCGATTGTAGTTTAATGAAACATGATGAATTAGTCATCAGGATTATGCCACACAATGGACAGGAACATTTTATCTGCCTCAACCACATGTTCAAATTGAGAAATAAAGCACCGCCAGATGGCAGACTGGGTAAGAGAAACAACAAGTAATTGTGAGAACCGGCTGCTTAAACAGTGAATGCCTCTCAGAAAGTGTCGGGTGGCCAAGTGGCTGTTTATCTCTCTGTCAGAAGGTTGTGGGTGTGAATACATAATCTATAATGCTCCAGTGTACCATACAGTGCTACGGGATACAGGTGTATAATATTTTAAATGGGATTGAAAAAGTGAGCCTAGAGCAATGCTTTGGGTTGCACCAAGATAGGAGAATAGGATATAGGTTTAGAGTTGCAAAGGGTAATTTCAGAACAGATAGTTTTTAGTTTATACAGAAGGTTTTCTTTATCCCTCTCCCTCGCCCCCATCAAAATGGAAAGTGAGCAAAAAAACGTTCAAAATGAAGTTATAAGAGAAACAATGGGTAGAAAAATTGGAAGGAAAATGTGATGAGACTGGAAGGGTAAAGTTGTTTTTTAAAAAATGTTTGATTTTAAATTGTTCTTTAAACTAGATTTGAAGGGGAGAAAGAAGCAGTTCCTGTGAAATAAATAAATAAATAAATAAATCAAGAGGAATTATTGTGATAGATAAGAAAGAGCTCAGACTTGGAAGAGATGATAAAAGTTGTACAAAATATGTCAAATAGGGCAAAAAAAAACATAGTCCTTTGAATAGAGTTTAACTGTTAAACCTTCTAAGCAATTGTTTTTAACACCCCAGAGTGCAAGACTTCTCGCCCACTGTATGATAGTTGAAACCCCATCTGGAAAGCTGCTCAACTGGCAGATTTTAGTTCAATTCAATAATTTAGCCCCGTGAAAGACAGGCACTCCTTGAGAGGAGAACGCAATGAATGCTGTGGATGCAGCACTGATGACCCCTGTTGGCAATTTTTTATGGAAAAGGTAAGTCTTTTTTGCAAACTTTTCATTAAGCAGTTTGAGCAGGGAGGCCTCCAACACAGTCACGTCTGAAAACAGAGAGCACGAAATACAATGGATGAAACACACTGTACGAATGTATTAAAAGGAGCTGTTGGCTTCATCAACCGATAATGCATGCTGAATGCTTCTTCAATCGTTGAAGAACACAACACTTGCTTTAACTACACTATATTTTTCCCAAACATTTGCAAAGTTGGTTAATAACCTGGCCAACACCCCCAAAGTGACTCACGCAGTCTGTAAACCACACTTCACCATATATTTTGAGATGTGCTTGGGACACGAAAGGCGCTATACCAAGTGTATTATTATTATTATTATTATTATATATTGATTTATCCATAAAACAAGCAATAACAGCTGATCTGGTAAATATGGTCTGCAGCAATGCAAGGTATAATTTA